AAATTTGGCGTGGAGAGTAAATTAGCTACGAACAATTTTGCTAAATGTCTTAATTAACACTATTTAAAATTGTCATTTTGTTAATATTTTATGTCGCTAATATTCTGAATTTAGTATATTAGCAAAAATGTAATGAGGTTAAAATATTTTGATTGCTAATATTGTTAAATTGCAAGTGTGTTGTTTTCTTTGTCTTTTATTGCTTTTTGGGAGTGGGAACATTATAAATTAGCGTACTGAGAGAAGAGAGTCGATAAATGTGTATGTTAAAGCTCAAACACTTGGGCGAACATATTGCAAGTGTAAGGTGCAAATATTTTGTAGATGCTCTCTGTCGTTGTCAGCGTGACACTATAAATTATTTTGACATCTGAGTTAGGTTCGCAAGAAATTGCTGCCTGCGAAGAACTGGATATGCTCTGTTTGGGGGAATGAGTGAGTTTTAAGAAGAGTCCGTTCGAATAACGATGAGACAGATAGAAGCAATGTTAACGTAATGTGAGATGGCAGAAAATGAGAAAGTTGAGGTAAGCCAGATACAAATTTTGTGAAAAATCGTGACATTTGAAATAGGTGTAATTAAATGATATTTCCAAAATAGTTATTAATAAAGGTGGACTTGAGATATTTATTCTGAATTCGATGGCAATGGTAAAAGTTTCGGGTGGTTAGAGAAAGTTAATACTGAATGGCTAAGCTAAACGAGGGGTTGCGTTTCCCCAATGAAATTCAAGGTTGTAAATAATTCCCTCGCAAAATTAGTCAGTATAAGTTTCTATGGAAAGCCAGAAAAAAGTTTCATGTGATGTTCCAATTATTGTCTAGTTTGCATTAGATGTTGTATCTGCATAGAATTAAAGATCCTGTAGTAGCAGAGACTGGTATGCATTAGAAGGGATATCTGTACGAAATATGTAGAATGGTACTATAGATTTGTATGCATTAAAAGCAGTCTAAATTGTTGCTACTCTACGGTCATAAACTAAGTAAGAGAAAAGCAAACCTAACATATTTTGTAAAACTTAGCAAATAATTTAATTATTAAAGTTAATAATGATAATGTAACCGGAACTTACAGCAGTATGAAGTGAAAACAAAATAATCCTGATAATGTTACATTAAAATCCAAAAGAATGAAAAGCTCCGTATACATTTCAGAACCAGAAATATAATAGTCTGCCAAGAATTGCGACGTTTACAAAAATGCGTTGTCCAGAGCTTCATTGTATAACCCACAATAGTTCCACAATAATATTATAGTTCAATGAACAATTTCTGTTTTCAATATTTTCCTCTAATATAATATATAAGTACCAAATAACATACGTCTGCAGACTTTGAACTACAACAGGAAGACAAGAAATAAGAATGACTCCAAGAATGAAATCTGATTGCTCGTTATTCTCCTTATATACACCTTCAAGAATCAATTGCGACTATATATCAAAATATATTCCACCATGACAGATCTTGCTTAACAATGTTTCAAAATATCTAAATATCTATTCATGTGACCTAACTCATCCAATGTTAATTAATCTAATTTTTATGATACCACATGATTGACCTGTCTAATAATATTATTAGTAACTGTCAAGACGCATGAAAGCATCTGTTTATATATCATATGCACCTTTACGTTCTGCAATACCTTAAAATAAACCCCATGCAGAATATGTAATCAGTAGAATTTACAGTCTTCAATCAAACATTTCAAAAATTAGAGCGGTTACTGTTAGGACTGGTCGGCTAGGTGTAAGGATAATGTGACTGGGTGGGATATCATGCTAAATGTCTGCGGAATCATGCTGCAGTGCTAGACATCACTATAAACTACCACACTACAGACAGAAAACTTGTTAAAGCTACGTTAAAATTCTAAATCACACACACATACACACACTCACACACATACGACAAAATCATGTACCAGGAGTTACATAAACATAGATATACATAACAATGCACAAAACATCGAGATATTTAGTATATATAGGTAAGCATGAGAAGGAATGTGTACACAAAACATATACCAATTAGTATAGATACAGCAGCCTTTAAAAGTCAACATCATTATTATTATCATCACAAATCATCATCAAATCTTAGTTATGGATTAAATATACAGAATGTCTGACACTGTTTGCTACGGTACTGATCTGTTAGTTTGCGGTGCCAAGCTCTGTCAAACAAGATCTATAGCATCTGAAGAGTAGGCACCGGACCATAACAGGAATTTTACGTGAAAGGTTTTCTTAGGATTCTTATTAGCGCTTTTGATGGAACTTAAAAAGTACATGATTTGTGTTCATTAAATATTCTCATGTGTTAGCTCCTATGGTAGCATCAACACCCATGTGGCCAGTAACATCATTGATATAAAAAAAAGTTTTTTTTATTAAGACGCAGAATTTAGGTATGTTTTTTTATATAATTTTACAAAGAACGATGACATTATAACTTAAATTTCATAACAAGCAGAGGCTAGAAAAGTTCAGGCGGTAGAGTAGACCTCTAAATTTTGCGGGGTCTCTGGTTCAAGCACCCCTCATGCGGCTCATTTGTTCCGTACTTACATAGCTGTGTAGTAACAGGGCTATCAAACGATTTTAACGATGTATCTAATGTTGACCTCTGAATCTGAGTTCAACTTGTTGCTGATAAACTTTTGTGACAAAGGGGCACGTACAGCTGCAGACTAGAAAAGCATTTAACATAAACTCTTTGGGGCCACAAGAGGCCCAGTGGTCAAATTCCTCTGATGGCCGAATGGTCTAACTTTAAGAAACTCATCCTTAGTGACATGTCACGTCTGTGTGGATTCAAGTCTCGGGACCGGCCAATGTAGGTATGTGAGACAGTTTGCTAATTGCTTTCAGTTCTTGATTGTTCTTCTCGGGTTCTTCCTCTGCCAAAATATTCTGGCCGCCATGTTCCTAAAATGGCGTTAAACCCATACCAACAAACCAAACAGCCAACTCATGGACCTATGCTATTTCGCGATTCTTTTAGCATGCATAGATCTTTCGAAACAGCGGAAAGACTTTCTATTTTGATTCGTTTTGGTGTGTGTGTGTGTGTGTGTGTGTGTGTGTGTGAGAGAGAGAGAGAGAGAGAGAGAGAGAGAGAGAGAGAGAGAGAGAGAGAGAGAGAGAGAGAGCAATAATTAACTTTATGATCTCTTACAGAGATGATTAATTTTAGAATCTGTTTCGGTCATTTTAATGTAAATGATCTCATAGTCAAAACTGGACGGTAGACCCGACTGACAAAGTGTTAAACCAACAAACCGTTGAGATATGGAATCAGGTCACAATTAATATTTCTTGAATGTAGTCCCAGTCTATTTGTTCTGTATCCGATTGGTGGTGATACAAGAGCTAGATTTAGACATTCTTGGTATGGATTTAAAAGCAATTGTTTATTCTTTAGAATATGGGCTTATGGTGTGGTAGTCGGTGTTTCGGCGACAGTGTACAGTGAGTAATAAGGTCTTGGCAATGATCCGGAAGTGAAATCTGTGCTTCATTGCACTTTGGCTTATTGACGGACAAGCCTTTCAAACAAAATGCAGTTGAACCTTTGACAAGACCTTTACCGTGAAGTCATCTTTCAATGTATTTCAGGTGAATATAAGATTTGTATTGACTGTCACAGAGATATGTGTGTGCTGAGAAATAAATGTAGAGAATACACAGTAAAATTAATTGTGTTGTAAGGCCATATGTTGTCTCATGCATGAACAAGCCGTTCATGCATACTCTATTTTTCAAGCAGACGTTGTTGGTAAGGTTTCAATTAGTCTATGTATCATTAATGTAGGTAGCATTCAGAAATTTTAAAACCTTGTGTAGGATGAGTCAAAGTGGAATTAAAATCACATGCTCTCGTCAAGGTAAATTTGAAAAAATAGCTGCAGGCATTAGACATGTCAGCTTTTGTTTCAAGCGAATTCATAAAAAACGTTTCAGTTGCCTCCCCAGCCTGTATGCAATGTTTCAATGTCCTCTATGACCCATTTTTATAGCTATCATTCTTTATGCCGTTCAAAACTTAACCTCAACCGTGATGTACAAAACGAAAAAGAAAGTAAATTTGGCCAAACTTATCAGTCTGTCGTTTTAAAATCATAATGTTTTGAATAAGAAACGGATGCTTCAAAAGGCATAACTAAGCAATAATCTTGAATTTATTTCTAAGGTGGGGAAAATAGTATCACAAATAAATGCAATGTTTCAATGAACAACTAGTCAAAGTTGAGTGCAACTTATGAAATGAAAAATGAACTATATTAATCAATCTCTGGTTTGCTAAAACATGAAAAACAATATGCAAGTATGTGACAATATATATCCAATGTGTTCTATTTCGCATGGGAACCAAAATTACCATGCATCAAAGTATTTGCTATTTTTTTCTGGGGTACCAACATATATTTAACCACTAATTTAGAGACCAAGAAAAACATTTTAAACCTGTAGTGAACATTGGACATTCATAACTTAAAATTTTATTTTTGTAGCTAAACCACCAAAATTAAAATCAACCAAAATAGGTGGTTCCTAAGGTTTACATCTGAAAATTGATGTTTACATGCCGCCGATGTACATGCATATGATGTAACAGTTAATTTTTAAGATGATGTAATATTTTTGCAATACCTCGTACTCTTTGATTACTCACATATATTTAAGTAGCTCTTTTTCGCTAACACCAACGCCTTCGCGACAGCTTAAATCTGTTCAACGACCAGCAAGATAAGGTAAGATTAGATTAGATTAGATTAGTGGTGTGTGACGTGATTATGATTTTTAACCTAGCTTTAATATCGCCACGATGTCTGCAGTGTGGCGGTTTATAGTGATATCTAGTACTGGAGCATCGTGCCGCAGACATGTAGTAGTATGATGCCCCACCCACTCACATTATCCTGACACCAAACCGACTAGTCCTAACACTAACATCTTAAGGCTGAGCGCCAAGTACCATTTTGTAAGTCTTTGATATGACTCGATCGGCGATTGAACCCACGGCCTTTCGCATCTGAGGCGGACGCTCTAACCACTAGGCCATTGGAGATTAGATTGGATTATATTAGATTACTTTGGATGGATGGATGAATAGATCAGAATGTAGATAGGTTGGTATGTACTGATGTGTAATATAATTATGCAAGAAAACAGTGCACGTCATTAGAAAAAATTGGTCAGATATTCTCCAAAATTCCGCCAAAATATCGCGTTTAAAACAAATGTCAGGAATAAGTCCATATACCAACGTACATTAAATTTCACTTAAAAAAAACCACTAAGCCAAAAAATAAGATAAAATTAATCCATATTACAATGAATCAGAAATATATACCTTTTATAAAAGAAACAGGTTACACAAATCACTTAAACTCTTATTTGCTGACCCCGGAAAGGAATACATTTTCTATAAACCAATGAAATAAACTGCAGTATAGGGTGACTGTATTTCTATTGTACTGATTAATATTATACCTGATTGCATGTGGTGTCTAAAGAAAGAAAAAAACCACAACAACCAAAAGACAGATCTCATAATGGAGTTATGCGTCCGCATTTCCGTACCAAAGAATTTAATTTTATGTGTAGGACAAAGAATACAGACCGTGGTCTGTCTTCGCATTATGCAACGACAGATCAGAGCCTATGTTGTAGGGAGGTGGACCCTACTAATAGGCGAAATTAAGTTTTGGGACCAAACAATATGTACATAGAAATTTTAATATGGCAAAAGAAAACTTCGGCCACACGTAAGGTGATATTTTTGTAAAGGTACGAAAAATTGAAATTTCATCATCTGTTATATAATGTTTAAAATGAATTCGATCTGGAAGAAAATATTTGATTTTGATTCAACCACACCTTCTAACATTTAAAAATATTTGATTATAATTCTACCAAACCTGTTAACATTTTTTTTAAAAAAAAATATTTGCATATAATTCAACCAAACCTATTAACATATAGTTTCAGTGGCCTTAGTGGTTAGAGTGTCTGCCTCAGATGCGGGAGGTCGCAGGTTTGAATCACATCAGAGTCATACCAATGACTTATAAAAATGGTACCCAACTTTAAGAGGTTAGTGTTAGGACTGGTTGGCCTGGCATCACGATAATGTGACTGGGTAGGACATTATGCCACACTGCAGAAACCGTAGCGATCTGACTGAAAAAAAGTACTAAAGCTTTCCAACGCAGTTGGTAAAATTTTTAGTATTAATAGGTCTTAGAGTTTTTGGCTTCTATTACAAACATGTACATAGTTAATCGTTTACAGCATTATGTGTGCAATTGTACGGGTCCCCAGAAACGTAGATGTTAATCATTTCTTTGGTACGACACAGCCTAGTATATTGGCGAGAGGGAGGGGTTAGACCAAATCAAAAGATATATGTTTATACTGTACAACAGACTTTCAACATAGTTGGGGGTGGGAGAAGCACCCTTTAGCGGACGTCCATGCAAACTTTCAGTATAAAGGGCACTAATATACACCTTTCTTTGGTGAAATAACTTGTTTCAAAAACCGACGATAATTATTGTGAGCAAATTTGTGGTGGGGTGGTGATAACTATTGCATGAGGTAATAAAATAGCTAGGTAATAAGTAAATGCAACGTATTATCATTCAAGGCTGATTTGATTTCGATTATTGTGATTATAACAATAATGACGACCATGGAAACCATGACGATGGGCGTATTATCTCGTTCTGTTGATGTTATCTGAGACAGACAGGAAGTAGATAAACATACTATTGGATCTCTTTGGATAGGATTCTTTTTATACACGTTTTAAAATTCTACTGATTTCAAAGGAAATGACCAGTTTGGTGCAAATATATTACTATGAACTCTATTTTCGATTAAGCTTATCCTTTGACAAGGAAGCATACATTTCCAGTATAATGCCTACGAAGAAGAAGATAGAAGACGGATGCGTGAACGAAGAAGAGAATATCCACATAGATCAAATAGTTGTGCATAATACATTTTGATTATCAATTAATCCATTTATACAGACCTACATCACATGCTTATTATAGTGAGACTTTCAACTTGCAAATGGATGCTGTTAATAGTTGCAATGCCTCGGACGTTATCCCACTTGGAAGATACTTGTGGTGGGACTGTGCCATGAATATATTGCATTAATGAAGGTCAAGAGTATCTAAACTTGTAATAGATCTACTCGTAAAGAAGGCCATAGAACACAATTAATTTTACTATATAGTCTCTACATTTGTTTGTCAGTACTGAACTTAACACTGTGTGGCAATCAATACAAATGATATGTTAATCTAAAATAACTTCAAAGATGACTTTACGGTGAAGTTCTTGTCAAGTTAAAGAGTTAAAGAATATATAGCCAGATTACATCATTATCGTACAGTAATGTACTAAATACATCCGAATTTTTTCAATGGACAAAATACGCACTACCACAACAATTTAAGACGTGTTCAATGTAATCTGTAGCTCGAGTTTCCTATGATCTTTGCCAACGAGCGTTTAATATTTGAAAAGTTATGATAGACTGAACGCTCAGGGTCCATTTCCTTTTGAGAAGATGGAATTAGCTGAAACCATGCGGTAGAGGGCATTCGTTCTTTAACTTCATCAGGCACTAACAAAATTAACGATATTGTATTGAACCCTATCTGCCCGATATCAAGTAGAACATTTATCTTTTCGTTAATAAAAAAACAAACTTATTTCGTTCCTTATCGTGTTTGCGAAATGAAAACTATTCTATTTCTCAGATTGCATTTTTAAGATAATACAACTCTATCGGCGTACATTTTCGTGATGTTCACGCGCAACGATCACATAATACAAAATATCTATGTAGAAACGAGGCCGATAGTCGTCGAATACAGATGTCTCTATATTTGGCGATCATGTAACTAAGCAAATAGTTTTACTTGGATTGTAATACTGCTCGAAAAGACTAGACAAAATGTTGGCTTTTTCAAGTTACAAATTGTGTCTGAATTGTTTTGTCAAAGAAGACAACATTTTGCATATCGATATTATGCCACTAGAGTTAGATACAATATCAGTTAGGGGCCATCCATAAATGACATCACGCGATTTTGGCCGATTTTTTTACCCCCTCTCCCTCGTCACACGTTGTCACAAAAAGTCAGACCCCTCAAATATGACGCCCCAAAACTCTGCCCCCTCCTCCCAGACAAAAAGCCTATTTCCTATTTGAAAATTGACGTGCTTTTTTATAAAAAAAATTCATCATTATCGTTGTTTATATTTAGTTTTGGCGCTGCATTCTATTATTGTAGGAGAAAACATGTATTAGAAAGGAGGCATTGGCAAGCTATAATTGGCATAAAATTCTTTTAAACATATTTTTCGTCTAGCTAAAATTGCGGATGTAAGTTTGGCAACAATAGATTATTTCAACCGAGCTTTACCGGAAGAATGCTATTTGGAATAAGCCACTATTGGGGCTAGTAAGGGTGTTAGTAGCTACAAGTCCAGTCAGTTTTAATTTGAGCTCATTCACGACATGCGTGAAGCTACTTAAACGTCATTAAATAAATTGTTAGCAGTCAAAAATTAGGAATAAAAATTAAGTGTAACTTTTATTTAAAGTTAAGCATTTTGATGCAACGTCACATTTGTTAAACACCCCTATTACCCTCATCACATATCGTCACAAATCTGAACCCCACTCTCAAGTATGTGACGTCATTTATGGATGTCCCCTTATTGTTTCTAACCTATATGTAAGGCTACTGTTCTATCCCTCTAGCAAGCTGTTTGGACAAATTCTATCTTTCCAATAGGAAGCGTGCTCTGATCTTATCTTAATTGTAAGTGAAAACAAACAGACATTGTTTTTATTGATGAAATTCCAGTCCTTTAGCAGTCTTGAGCTTGGAACACTCCTTACTTTAATTAGCACCTGACTCCTAGGTGTGGAATATAAAAGCACATGTTTCAAAAACATGCAGGTCCAGAAAATACTGATCAATATAGGTTTGATCATAAGTACTCAGAAATATTAAGTTATTGAATTCTTAATATCATGATGTTTGCATAGTGTTGCTATGGGAACTGATTTAGTACCGTGAATTCGTATAGACAGCTAGAGCAATACAGGGAATCCACCTTTGTAAGTGTCATTAATATTGCTCTAACTGCAATTATATGATTTTATTTGTGGATAAAAAGCAAAATTAATACCTTTTGTAAATCACAGAGTGACTTTCAGTGGGATATTAAACACATATTCTGATATATCAACTGTTGCTAACAAGGGGATGGAGAGGGGAGGGGAACAACAGTTTGTAGATTTGAATATGTTTGGTGGAATGTTTTGCACTTTGGTTCATATATATATATATATATATATATATATATATATATATATATATATATATATATATATATATATATATATATATATATATATATATATATATATATATATATATATATATATGCCATTTATACATCTTTAGAGTAATTACAGTAAGCAATATGATGTTTCCTGGTTGTTTTGAAACATAACGCATCAGATCTAATCACTTAGGTCTCTTCCAGGATACTTAATGGGGATGATCTCTCATGACTTTGCATTCCACTAATTTCTTTCAGTGAATGTTTTGAAGCTTCGTATTTTGCATTTTAATGGACTTGTGTCTACCTTACTCTATTTTATAAATTATATGATTTCTGGGAAGAATTTTAGGTAGTTTTTGTCATTCAGATCTCTTTTTTGTATTATTATATGTTCATATGTCACCTTGACCTTTAACCCCTTAATTACATAATATGACAAGGCTGGTAATATATTTCAGTATTAAATTGAAGAGAGATAAATGGTGATATTACAAAGATGACTCTTTTTTGACAGCTTTGTTTTAATATTTTTTCTTCTGATTATCTTGGAAAAAGCTCCTATATTTAAATGTTGTCTAAAAAAACATGCAATATAATTTATTATTTACTAATGAAATCTGAGACAAGCAGAACTATGCGCATTGCTTACTTATGTATTAAACTACTATTCCTAGGGCTGTCGAGA